TTTTTAGTTTTTTTTTAAACTATTATTTATTTAAATGTACAGCTGTGCTACGTAGGATTGTTTAGATGGAACCAGGTATAAACAATAAGATAAAAACGGTAACATTAGTAGAATAAATCATGTAAATAACTTTTGAAAGATATGAAAATTTAATGTAACTTTAATAATTAGATATTGAAAGATAATTAATATATGTGTGACAAAGTCGCATGTGGTTGAGGCAAGTATGGAGCTACTTTACATCGTGAGATCGTTATAAAGTCGATTTCTAATGGATTCTATATACTTTCAAGTGGCGTTAATTATTAAGAACACACACGAATATTTACAGTCGTATATTAAGGAGAAATCATTTTAAGTACATAATCATTACTTTACAAAATTCTTAATTAAAAACAAAAAAGATTTAGATTCAAGGCTATGAATTAGATATAAGTAAGTATGCAGGAAGTTGATGGATACAGGTTGTTCAGAACTATGGATGATGATGCAGTGAACTTGTGGAAAGCTGAAATAACGAATGGTGATGATGATGCCGTGTAGTGGCGATATAACAGAATGCGCTACTCATTATATAGGGCAGTAGTGGATTCTTTTACACCCGTGGGTGCTGTAAGAGGCGAAAGTGGAACACTCGTACAACAGATGTGTAGCAACATTTTCTTAATACATCTTAGTAATCATAAAAAAACTGCAGTTGGGAACCCGTCTGCCGAGCCTGGTAACTATGGCCAATATATTTTGAGACAACCTGAGAGGAGACCTATTCAATAGTGGTAGTTTGATAGACTGTGGTTACAGTCTGTGATTACAGTCTATCAAACTACTGAATGAATATTCTTTTTTTATAGAATAAGAGTGACAAACAAGCACCTGATGGTAGGTGGAAATTTCATATTCAATTAAAAATCAAAATACAGATTCGTTGTCATCCCTGAGGACTAAGATGGAATGCCCCGTTAAAAGTAAAAAAGGTCTCTCTCTCACACGCACACGTACACGCACACGCACACGCACACGCACACGCACACGCACGCTTACACGCACACGCACACGCACGCGCGCACACACACACACACACACACACACACACACACACACACACACACACACACACACACACACTCACACACACACAGATCTCAAAGTAGTATTAACAGTAACATTAGCACAGCAGTACTAAACTGTTACGCTGGTATTCTGTGAGAGCGTGGTCTTACCCCGGTCGAGCCGACCCGTTCATTCTGCAACCATAATATAGCTGCAGCGTGGCTCACCACGTAAGAATATATGATTTTTTAATATGAAACTTTTATTTTTTGACGGTGGCAGTGCACACGCCACCTTTAATCACCTTTAATTTATAAAAAATTAGGCAAATAGGACAAATATGAATATGTACAAACACATTACTGCACTTGTGAGAACGTAATTTGTTTCTATATCAAAAATAAACTGGACTTCCCGTAAGGTCGATGTTAGTGTAAAAGCTTTAGTATAAAAAGCAATCGTGCCATTTTTATATGCAAACCATGCTTATATTATTTGCACTACGGTAAAGTTACTGATGAAATCTTACAAATATACACAAACACAGTTGTAATTTAAAATGTTGACAAATTATTCGCATTTGCATTTTATACATGAAATTCAAACAAATTACATTAATGATTGAATTTAATTATTGATGGATGGACAAAAACATGTTACGCTTCTTCATGACTTAAGTAGAGCGTTATATGTAGTTATTACACTTTTCTTTTATCGCAAAAACTATATGAAACAATTATTTTTTTAAATCATATATTTTCAGACCAAAATGAATACAGCATAAATTAATTTAAAGAAATGATAACACTCAAAAAATTTCGATAATTATTGATCGTTCTTATACATGAATTTTAATTATGAGGGGTCGTATTGTTGCATATATTCATACATACAGAGGTCAGATAAATGCATTTCGTTTTGTGAATTCTTTCATGGCGCGTGGGAACGAAATGCGTTTGCTCCGTTCCTGGAACCTGCGCTCGCGATTCATCAAAACATTTTGTACAATAGACCAACTGTGGAGATAGGACTTCTTTATTTGGAACTATGGCATAGTAGTGAAAACTGTTATTATATTTTGGTAAGATAATCAATTTATTTTTCATGTCGAATTTAATCTTATCAACATAATTACGAAAGGTAGACTTCTTTATTAGGAACTATGACATTATAGTGAAAACTGTTATTATATTTTGGCAAGATAATTAATTTTTTTGCATGTTTAATACGTGGTAGAGCCACGCTGCAGCTATATTAGAACTATAGTTGTAGCACGAATGGGTCGGCTCGGCCGGGGAAGGACCACGCTCTCACAGAATACCGGCGTAAAATAGCAGCTTAACACTGCTGTGTTTTGCATGGTGAGTGTAGAGAACCGTAGATCATTTTTACTATAAAAGAGGCATTCCATCTTAGTCTTCACGGGTGACAACGCATCTGCATTTTGATTCTTTATTGAGGATAGATGTGGATGTCTATGTGTCACAGCAACCACTTACCATCTGGTGGACTGTGTGCTCGTTTGTCCTATTCTATTAAAAAAATGTCGAATTTAATCTTATTAACATAATATATGAGCTTGTATATTTTTTTGTATTCCTATTTATGAATAAAACTAATTTTATTTTGCTTTAAAGCACCCTTTGTCACAGGAGTGTTATAAAGCACCTGAAAGCTCGGGTATTATATAGTTTTGTTCATTGCACAGTATTCGTGTGAATACAAGAAATTATTATTTTTATTTTTATTATGAGCAGCTTGTATAATGAATATTTTGTCGTATTTATTTTACACTGACGTTCATCTTCTACTTTAAGAAGCATCACATCACTTTAGTTATTAATCGTTGTGTCATATCGGATTCCTACATGGTACGAAAAGAAGAAAAAATAACATTTTTAATATGAGTTTTTAGGTTGAGATTACTACTACTGTGTGTAATGGAACTTAACCCTTAAAAAGGTTGGATTTATCCTAGGTTTTCAAATTTAAAGACTTTGTGTGCTTAAAATAAATACTTATTATTTATAATATTAATATGCAACCGATACTCTGATAGTATCTATAGAGTCTTAAATGAAAGAAAGTTTCACACATCATATGTTACGTGACCTCAAACTTCATAAAACTTAACGTAATCAAGCCTTCATTTTTTAATCGCAACATTCATAAACGTACACGGTTTTGCCAATCATGCAATTTCAATATGACCGCTTCACTCAGGCATTATTCGATACCCGTTTATAATGTTTACACTGTTCCCTTCGAAGAAACCTGTCGTTACACGTCTATATTCGTCAGGAAAAGTATAGTTGCCATAAGTGTAACATTATGTAGCGCTAAAGCCTTTCTAAACAGAATCTTATTGTTTAGATAACAAGAGCGTAAGTTAAGTGTGAGTATTGAAAATGTGCTTAGTTTTTATGATTACATTCAATTATTGTTAATTAAAGCCTTTCTTTTTGTTTCTCGGATCATGTACAGTACAAAGATTTTTATCACATGGTATCATTAAAATCAGTTAGGCGCATCATTTTTTATAGCACCTACAAATCTCGTTTTAGTACTTTCTAAGATATGTTTTGTTTTAAACTATGCTATCACACAAAATTTTCCAACTCGAAAAGAATATCTTTTTTTTCTCTTTGTTATTAGCTTTTTAAAATTCCAACGTTGGGCTTCCCTCACTGTGGGAGGAATTTGCCTATATCGTTACGTTTGGCAGGTGACTTGAAGATCAGACGTCTCGTCCGTTTGATGCTGGTGTCCATCGTTGCTTTAATTTTTAACGTATGGCGTATACCGCCATCTTAGTCGCCTCTTATTATATGGGAGATAGAGGGTGACAGATCCTCCTCCCACACGAGATAGAAAAAAATTATTTTAATTATTTAATTATGTATTGACGACGTACTGACAACAGTGAATTTTCCAAATACAAAACTTTCCGAAGCTGTCAATATAAATTATGAAGAATAGGTCAAAAACTATTGGTCAGACCTTATTCAAATTTATATGGGACTACATGAGAAGCATCCGGTTTCAAATAAAAAAAGAATCATCGAAATCGGTTTACCCAGAAAAAAATTATGAGGTAACACAGATAAACAACATACAGTCGAATTGAGTACCTCCTCTTTTTTGAAGTCGGTGGAAAATGGCTCATATCATATCAAATAAACGAATTGAAAACATTTTATGAAATTCTCCACCTACCAGCATATTTTGAATAAGTGGGTTGAAATGGTACCTTCTTTGGCTTACAACAAAGTTGGTAAAGAGTTACTGATAAATGTATTAATGAATACATTTTTATAAATTAGGCGACCGATCGTCAGTGCTATATAGTATATTATCTATGGTCAGTGCGTTCCGAACGCACTGGCTGTTTACAATAACTGTCAGTATAAATACGGCTTTATTTCATAGAACTAAATACGAATTTACACTTATACAAAGAAAGGGGAGACGGACTTAAGCCGGGTCGATATTTGATCATACTAGTAAGTATCTTAAGTATGGACCCATTTTGATCATGTATCTGGACGCTATACATTTTCCTCCCATTCTCGTATATTGTCTACGTCCAAAATTTTCAAGACCGTATAACGCTGTACGAGTATAGAATCCTTTTTTATAATCGAGAAAAAGCCGACTACAGATGCGTCTTATCAGATATCATTTACACCAAGGTGACAGTGGGACGCGACGTATCAAGTATCATTTACACCAAGATGATCAAAGTTGGATCCGGCCTTAGACAGTAAGATGTAATGTTAGACACTTAGAAAAGTTTTTTTTGGTTCTATTTATGGCTCTACTGAAATTTAAATCTAAGACATTAGATTAAATATTCAGTTACTATAATATAACTCAAACGTCAACTTATTGATACGTAGGAGTGTAAATATATACCAAGAAGTAAAATTAATTTAATATTCTCATTACAGACAAGAGTTCGCGCTGGCGAGCTGTGGCCAATGGAGAGGCCAGAGGGCATGCCCGTCATCCAGTCGTTAGAAGTCATGTGCGGCAAGGATCACATGGACGTGCACCTAACATTCTCACATCCATTCGAGGGCATCGTGTCATCTAAAGGTAATTTAAAATAATTTCTTGAACACCTCATAAATTCGCTGTAATAATAGAAATTACTTCTACAAGATTATCTTCAAGTCTTTGTTCATGAAATTTAAAGATTTTCAGTGTGACCAAGCGGTCAACGTATTCGACTACAGTTGGTTTAGGTTGAACGTTGGTCATATCAGAGTTACTTTGACTTCACTACCCGTAGCTGCAGCATGGCTGTAACACGTATAAAATTTATAAATTTTCTGACTCCGGGCTACTACTAAGAATTTGTTAACAGGTAAACCCAATAACTGATTAAAATCCGACCCGGGATTCAAACCCCTCACCAAATGACTAGCAGTCACGTTTATGACCATTACACCAACAAGCCATGCTGCACTACACCTTGTTGGTGTAGTGGTCATAAACGTGACTGCATTTGCTATAGCCGCCATGTTTGCAAGAGAGTTGGCAACCGCTATTGTTTATTTTTACACGTTATTAGGAAGTTCATGCTGCTCATATCCTGATTTGTTTCTCTCTTTCACCTCTTACGACTTCCACGGGATGATATGGGATAGTGGATAATTCTTACACCGCCACTACACGGTCATTGAAGAAATGTATTTCACGGTTATTAATCTATTTTTATTTATGGTTCATTTAGGACTTATTTTAATATTATATATTTGCTTATAATCACATTCTATTCTGTAGACAGCGCGATGACCTGACATCGTAGAAATTAAACATGTATTCAGGGTTCTTTCGGCTCTACACTCCAAATCCCACTTCTTAATGTCATTTAATTATCTTGATTACTATCTCACTATATTATTAATTAATAAAATACAGTGACATTGAATGATATATTGGTTCCCCATGTTCTGTAAAATTATCTCACTTAAATAAGTGTGCACAGCAAACTGTATTCAGAGCGCTACTAATTGTAACTTGTAATTGTTGAGGTTTCACTAACAACGATATACGCTGAGTTATCCATTCTATGTGCGTTCTAGATAAGACACAACCGTTTCAAACAGTACGTCTCGATTTTTTTGTTTAAACGAAAGCCTTCTATATAGAACATTTGTTAAGTTGTTGTAGCCCTTGGTTGAAAAATCAATTAAATGACTTTAAATTAAAAAATACGCAAAAATATTCTTTATAAATAGAATAAAAATAAAATTTAAATAAACCATTTGGACAGCAAAATTTCCATTTCATATAATCCTTTCAATAAAAGCAAAATAAAAGAGGCGAAAGGCCAAACAATGGGTTCGCCCATCAATCTCTCTTCGAAAAGGTACTCCTCGGAGCTTAATTTTGTTCGCAGTTCTTTTTTTTGATAACTTGCTGTTCCACGCGACTTCGCCCGCGTGTAATTTAGGGTTTTAATTTTTTTGCAGGGAACCCTAATTCTTCTTCTTAAATAAAAGTAGCCTAAGTTACTCCTTATAACATCAGCTGTCTGCCAGTGAAAATTCCATCAAAATCGGTCCAGCAATTTCGGAGATTAGCCGGCACAAACAGACAGACAGATAGGCAGGCAGACAAAATTTCAAAAAATTGTGTTTTTGTTATAAGTACCGTATATACTTTCATATGCATTTAGTGAAAAGCTGTTACTTTGACATTACAAACAGACACTCCAATTTTATTTATTTGTATAGATACGCTTTTTAACGAATATTTGGTTTGAATGAAAGTTAATTTTCAGGCCTTATATGTGGAAGAATTTATTAAAATACATAGTACAGTGAAAAAATATATCCTTTTTTAAATATGCTGATAACGGTGGTATAATTGAGCAGATTTAGTAATTTGAGAATGTTCATAGTTTTTAAAAATAATTAATGTATGAAAAAAAAAACATAACAAAGATCGTGGCAGACATAGACATAGATTTGTGATGGCCTAGTTGTAGCGCCATAAGCGAAAACCCACTGAAATTGTACTAACACACGAAGCGTTGGCCACTCCCCGGGCTGAACACCTTACCCGGTGGGAGATCTCTCCTTTATTCATCCACGGCCAATGATTGTAAAAATGTAAAAAATCACAGAAATAAGTTAATATAGATTGAACATCGCCCGAATATAAAAATAATTCAAATAAAGTTTTTACTGTAAATTCTTGTACCTTATTCACTCATGTAAAACATTTTATTCATTAAAGTACCTAGTTAGTGACTAGAATATAAAATCGCCACTAATTATTAATTTATTATGGCGATGCGCTCCAAAAGTTTTCAAGTACAAATTGTAAGGTTTTTTTTTTGTAACGGATCACGTACCTATATGGTGTACATACTCGGACAACTCTGTCTTTTTATACACTATGATACTACCTAGAATTTCTGATACGATAGCCAAAAAAAGAATAATTTATCAGTCTTCACGCCGTGGGTAAATTTGTAATATTTCTTCATTGATGGTAGAGACATAGGCCTGGCCAAAAAGATGAAATTAAATGAAATGAGATTATATTCTGTGACACCAAAAGTTGAATTTTCGTTTGTAAAATGTCTTTATTAGTCTACTACCATTTAAAAATGATATTTTCATGACAGAAAAAGAAACGGAGCAAGAGACAAGTATCCTTTTGGTTGGTAATTAATCAAACGTAAAATAATTAGGTGCTTATAACAAAAATAATTAAACTTACAAATAAATTTGTATTCAAATTAAGTACTTAATCGCGTTTCAATTAAGTAAAGAGTGATTGGATTTCGATTCGATTAGGTAAGGATGAGTTTTCTTACGCCGTCACCACCTGGCAGATGACTTAATTTATAAGAAGTAGCTGCTTATTGAAAATGTGTTAATGGTCGTTAACAGGTCGTTAATTACCAGTAATTTAGGAAAATATTAGCGTAATTGGATAAAAATGCTTATGAATATTTGTTTTTATGTCCAATATTTTTTACCATACAAATTTATAATTGGATTAATCTGAAAATTTAAGACCATCTAAAAACTTAAATCCTTAAATATAAGCCGCAGTAACTTTTTATCTATTGCCATGTAATATACGTAAGGCCTTTTTTTGCGCCCAAAGCAAGGCTACCCTTCGGAAGCGGGGGAGGGAGGTGGTGAATGCTCATAGTATAGTACCTATGTTGAGCAGTGGACTTTAATATGCTATTAGTAGTATAATTGTAGCACGAATGGGTCGGCTCGACCGAGGAAGAACAATGCTCTCACAGAAAACCAGCGTAAAATTGCAGCTTGACACTGCCGGTGTTTCGTATGGTGAGTGTAGAGAACCGGAGACCCATTTTACTGGACAAGAGGCATTCCATCTTGATCCTCACGGGTGACGACACATCTGCATTTTGATTTCTTATTGAGGATAAATGTAGATTTCATTGGGTCACAGCAGCCACTTACCATCTAGTGGACTGTGTGCTTGTTTGTCACCCTATCCTATAAAAAAATCATGTATTGTAATAAGAAGGCTAGCATTAAAAAGTTCCACTCGTACAGTGGATACCGTATTAAAAATTAAATTACGTTCGTTACTCAAACATAATGCGACTATGTACAAAGTAAATTTGTGTTAATTGGCACAAAAATCAATGACGAAAAAATTGTGGGATAAGCCAGTCTATCATTCTTTTTTTTTATAGGAGAGGTGGCAAACGAGCATGCGCCTCACCTGATGGTAAGTGACTACCGCCGCCCATGCACAACTGCAACACCAGGGTCACCAGGGGAATTGCAGATGCGTTGCTGCCCTTTTAAAAAAGTGTAGGCTCTTTTCTTGAATGTCCCTAAGTCGTATCGGTCCGGAGAAATCGCTGGTGGTAATCGATTCCACAAGGAAGTTGTGCGAGGAAGAAAACATCTTCTAAATTGCATAGTGGTGGACCGCCAATCATCCAGATGGTGTGGATGGATCATTCTAAATAATATAAATCTTTCTAGAAACATGCCACATTTTCAATTCAATTTCTTTATTTTCACACAAAGACAATAATGTGCGATGCAATAATGTATGCTACGAGTACTATAATGCATAAATAACTAAACAAAATTGCTCATCATAATAAAGTTACGATGAGTTAAAGACAAGACAAGACAAACTTAAAGTGCGGCAGAAGTAAAAGTGCGGTATTGTCATGTAAATAAAAGTATAAAACTGTTTATGCTCGTATTGGATATCCTCCTTGCAGTGGTTGAGGGTTTAAATCTCATACGGAACAAGTGTTGCCGTGGTTTAAAAATAATTGTTCTAGGTCGGAATATTATGGCCTACAATTTATATATTTAAAATGGTTCAACCAGAATATCCCAAAGAAATTAACATTGTTTACAGTGTTTTTAACAAATAAATTTAAATAAAAGGGAGGACGATTAAAATACATTTGTCTTTGGTCGTTATAAAAACCTACATTCCGTTGAAAAGTAAAATTGATATATCGTTTCATTTGTTTTTTGGAAAGCACAGTAATCGGCCAGGCGGAGTTAATCAATTTTTTCCGTGTCTATGCACTAATCACTGAGACGAAACAGCAACTTAAAATGTAAAACTAAAACAAAAATGTTAAAAAAATGCAAACAAAAAGTCTTTTTCTTATTATAAAATCATTTGTGTGACTAGTTGTAGTTGTTTATACCTGGTAAAGCAACGCTGCGGTATGTTATCGCTGTAGCAGGAATAGGTCGACAGGACCGAGGCGGGACCATACTCATATCACATCAGAGTAACAGCGTGAAATAGCAGCATAATGTTGCGTCGCTTCATATGCTGAGTGACGAGTACCAGAGTCTTAGACCCTAGGGGTGACAACCTATCTGCATTTCTTTATTACTGCCAGGGACTGTGTGCTCGTTTGCCACAATTTTCTTTAAAAGTATCTTCGAAACTGCATTCGAACCTTTTCTCAGATTTTCGCATATCTGTAGTTGAATACCGTCAGGAGTATATCTTCAACTTCATCATCAACAGCTTCTAAAGGGCTCATACCAGTACAGTAGACAAATGGTTGTGTTTGTTTAGCAGTCATGAATGTTTGAAATTTAACGATATCCACAAAAAAAGATATTTTTTTGATGGACTTTTACGATTCATGCTATGACAGGTAGAGAATACTTATTATTATCTCCTGTTAAGGATATCATGGATCATAACTAACCCCTGGAAATGAGGTGATCACTACCATGCTATTTCTAATATGATTAGTATATAATTTTAAATTAAAAATTTTGTACAACCGACATCAATATAAATTATTAAGAATAACTCAAAAACTACTGGTCATACCTTGATCAAATTTATATGGGACTACATGAGAAGCACCAGATTTTAAATAAAAAAAGAATCATCGAAATCGGTTCTTGAAGTTAAATTAGGTCGGGGAAAAAGTTTCTTCGTATTTTGTTTATATAAAATTAAAGATAAATCTCTTTGGTTGGTACTGTTTCTATCGGACTGTTTTTAATATCAATACATATAGGACATTAAGCGAAAGAAAAATAAAAAGTAAAAACACTTTCCCGCCATTTTTCAACTGTTTTTCTAACCGCCAAAATAAGTGAGTCTAACGAATAATTCAATACAATCTGAAGTTTTATTACAAAATGGGGAAAAATACGATTCAAGCCGCGAAAAAAATTTGTGACGTTTATGGACCTAATGTAGTATCAGTAAGAGTAGCACGAGCGGTGCTACAGTACAAGTCGAAGTGCTGAAGTATTTGTACAGTAGGGCTACGATGGCTATCCGAGTACAACCGTGCTTTGTGGCATTCCTTGGAGGAGGCCTATATTCAGCAGTGGACTTGTGAAGGGTTGTAATTAAACTTTAAAAAAATGTCCTGTATTTGTATATAAAATACGAAGAAACTTTTTCCCCGACCGTATTCCTGGGCACAGGCCTCTTCTCATTTCTGAGAGGGTTTTAGGGCAAGGATATACCCGCACGCTACCCCAAAACGTACTGGCGAACTTCACATGACTATTAAATATTTTTTTCTTATTTATCAGACACATGCATGTTTCCTCACGATGTTTTCCTTCATCATCGAGCACGTGGTATATGATTAATATAGTTTATTACAAAAAGTCCCACTGGGTTTCTTGCTAGTTCTTCCCAGGTATTCTGGTTATCTTTCCAGAAGCATACACTAAACTAGTTGTAAATTTAAACATATATTTTGAAATTTCCTTCTATTAAGTTGGGGGGGGGGGGGGGGGTTTGCATAACATGCATAAACATTTTTTAAAATTTTTGTCTGTCTGTCTGTCCAGGCTAATCTTCTGAACAGCTGAACTAATTGTGATGACAAATAGATAAAGAGCAATGGCATAGAGTTTAGCGATTTCTGTTAAATATGGATGGGATATGAGGGAGCAATTAGTCTATCTATGTTTTCGACGACGATGATTATGTGGTAAATCAGCACTTAAAACTGCAATTAAAAATTTAATTGGTGCTGAACGTGGGTTGTTCGCGTACTGTAAAATTTGCGGGTATAAGGGTCAAACGAGCATACAGTACACCTGAGTGTATGCTGTAGCCCGTATACATTAATTAAGAATAATAATACAGATGCGTTGTCACCCCTGAGGTCTAAGATAGAATGCCTCGCTTTCAGTAAAAACACATTCTCCGGTTCTCTACACTCACCATACGAAACACAGCATTATTAAGCTGCCATTACTCTGATATTTTGTGAGAGCGTGATCTTAGCCCGGCCGAGCCGACCCATTCGTGCTACAACCATACAATTCAAAAACATTATATTAAAAACCAAAGTCAATGTATTTCGTGTTTATATCTGCTTCTAATATAAGTACCTACTGTGTTCATAAAATTTATACCCCAATTTACAATCAACAGCTTTAATTGAATGACAATAGTCATTTCAATAAAATTTCTTTCGCTCAAAAAATTACCTTAAATAGAACATTAAGCTCTTGACTTGCTTTGATGAAATTTTCTTTAACTATATTTATTCCTTTACAGGGCAACATGGCGACCCCCGATGTGTGTACGTGCCGCCATCCACGGGACAAACGTATTTCTCGTTTAGGATCGCGTACGCGAAATGTGGAACGAAACCTGGTGAGTTTTTCTGATTTATATTGCGTACGCTTATTAAAATCTTATCTCACTATCTCAGACGAGAAAGTATTCGGTTAACGTATGCGAACTTATTAGCGCTATCTTGTTATACAGTAAGGTAAATGTAAATGTGGACAGTGGGGATTTTTACCTTTCAATTATTGTCATTTTACTTTCAAACTAAGAAAAACTATAGCTAATTGATATTTTTAGTTTTCTGCACTAAAATTCAACAAAACGGTATTCTGTTGTTGATCGATCGCAGCCACAATCACACACCAATCATATACCAATAATAAGTGACTAAATGCTTAGAAATACCTCCAGCAACTTCTTCAATACCCAACACCATCCTGCACCAGGAGAACCATCACCATGGACAGAACCACGATAATATCTTAGCACTCGTAGAATGACTTCGGCGGAATCTCTCACGCTCGGCACCTCCAATGAACTTTATACTGCACAAACGAGTGGGGGGTTCCTAATCTACCCTCGATTCTACCCCGCCACCATCGAAATGACGCTCTGCTAGAGTGATGTAACCTTTCGCTCACTCTCGATCCATCCAGTATTCTATACACACCGACATATACATTAAATATACTAACAAATAAATAAACAACACATAAATAAACAAAAGCCCAATTATAAAATCGGTGTCGGGTTGTCTGTTTGTTTTTTCTGAGAGTTTCATGTAAATAGTCGATTGCCTATCATAAGTTGCAGGCGGGTTGACAACAAATAACGCAATTTTCTATTATTTTTGAATTTTAATCACGAAGATGCTGCTGACCATCTCCTGTTTCATTCATTTCGGCAGGCCTTCACCCTTACTTGTATATTAAAACCATTTTTTGTAAATTTTTTATGTTTGATAAACATAAGAAAAATTATGACTTTACTTTTACTTTAATGACCACTATAAAGCGATGCCCGTTACGCTTTAATTTGTGAAAATGGACCGCGGATTATGTGTGAAATCCATAAATATGTTCTTGAATGCGGGACATGCGAACTATGGCAATTAAAAGGCACTAAACGTTTTTTTAAATTAATATATTAAGTTGTAAATCAAACTCATGCTAGTTATAGCAGATTCTATGTATTGATACTAAATATATATTAAAATAAAATTATCCTTCCAGTTAACTTATTCAGGTTTACGGTTATTTACCGTGGAATGGATAAATATGGAATTGATGTATCTATCTAATCACGTCTCGCATGCCTCCTCTTATTTCTAACAGGGTTTTAAATCAGGGAAGTACCTTCTGGAGTGACCTCGAGTATGTTGGCGAACTTTAGATTAACTAATGAGTTCTAGCATTTTCTAGATACGCAGACATGCATTTCCTCACAATGTTATCCTTTACCGCCGAACACAAGATATAGCAGCATTAAAATTAACAAAGAATTATTTCATTGAATTCATCGGGATTGAACATTTTTTTGGTTGATTACTTTGCTATTTTAAGGTCAACGTTTTCTCCCTTTGCTCTTAAGTAACGAACCTAGATATTCAAATAGTATTAGTGTTTTATTTTTTGGTTCTTATTTTGTCTTACTTTTCTATTTAAACATTATCAACGATAAAAAATATTTTCACATGACATTAAAAAAGTACGAGTTTCTACTTAAAAACGAGAACATCTTCTATTTTCATCATTAGATATCTGGAGTTATTTTAATAAACGCATTAACACCACAAGAGATTTTGAGATTATAAAAATTGAAGTAGGAAACAGCGATGGGCGAAAGCAATAGAGACAAAGTTTTTGGAGTTCATTGGAGTTTATTGAAGTTTACTCCTTAAAAATCGGTTTTCATATATAAGCCTGGGGTATGAAAATTTATGAGGTGTAAAATCAAACGTTACGTCATGCGTTACGTTATGTATTCATGTTTCCATGACTGCGTAATGTCATGCGCCACTTATCTTGCGCAGCCCCTAGTACAGAGTACTCTCGGATGTACTACTTTATATCAACAAATAATTGTTCGTAAGTTGCAAACTCAAGTCGTGCGTCGGAGTTGACACACAAACTTTTTTTCCATATAGGCTTAGCGAAATATTACACAATTGAATCAATAGTTTCCTCGCATATCACAGCATCAAAGCTGCTTGTGTTTCACAAGGCTGCGTGCTTGCACCTGCCCTGTTTCCTGTGCATGTGAATGTAATGTTGTTTTGACTGCACTGGTGTTTCTTAATACAACAGCCGTTCCAAATTTCTCGGGAGCATGTCGTGGAGTGCCGGACAAATTTCCGTCTCAAGACAAGTTTTAAATAAGACCAAGGATTGGGAGCGAGTATATCTAGTATAATACAATCCTCAGAAGGAGTTGCGCATTTACCACAAATAAGAAGAAGTTTTTTGCCAAGTCGAGCAAAAAAGCGGCACGGCCGTATTATCCTTTTCTCGAAGCAGTTCAGGCCATTTTCGTTCCCCTATAACTTCGTTGTGGATAAAATTAGAAGCCTGAATTTTTAGTAACCAAGCACAGGCTTTGTATAAACAACGGTATATTTCAAATTTCATTTAATTTGAACCAGTAGTTTAAGAATTATTACTAGTTTAAGTTTCTTGATTTTGTCACTCATTGACTGAACGATCATCAAAACTAAGGCACTTCTAGCAGACGCGGAAGCTTCAAATTTAGAAAAAAAATTAGTGTTTAGTGTATAAATCAAGGAAAAACTAAAAGACTTTCTAATTTCGGTCCAGTTTTCTAGATACACCCACTACATAAATAACTTTGTAATCCTATATAAATATATAGGATTACAAAGTTAATAATAATATAATAAAATAATAGATGTAGATAGTAGATATATACTTATAGATAGATAGATAGTACCTAGATATAATTATGTTCATAGGTAACTTGTAAAATGGTCAACGTAATGAAAAAGCAATAATTGGGACATCTCAACAAGTCTTATGCAGTTGTACCAAAATTCCGCAAAGTATTATGGAGACCCGTAGTTGGTATTCAAGAAGTAGATGGTTACGGTAGTAAAGGAAAAAAAGTAGGACTATCTACAAAAAAAATTAGATGCCATCAAAAACATAACTTGTAAAAAAAAAACCAAGTCTCGCAACTAAATTCTTCTACCATAAAAATTTGTGAGATCCATTTAATACCAAGTCGGTTAATTTATTCAGTCCCTACTTAAGGGTCCTTCTGTCTCAAGTTATTATGTAATTAGCTAAGCTAATAACATCTTATAATGACTATATCAATATTAAAAATCTTTTATGTTTTAAATACATTGACTGACTTGGCCATCGCATGTAAACACAATGTATCTCACAAGTAATATTCCCATTGATTTATTCATTAAAACATATCAAAAGTCCACTGCCTTACATAGACCTCTTCCATAGATTGCCTCATAGGATAGATATATGCAATAGTTGTGGTAACTATCAAATATCTATAATAATACGTGATAGGTGGATTTTTTTAATATTTCGTGTTGTTATGTGCTGTTGCCCATCTCCTGTTTTGTTTTACTCTGTCACCTTTTACGACACCCAAACTAGTTCCATCTTGATAAAAAGAAACAAAGCCATACATTAATCGCTTCAGAATATAAAATGGTTCAGAATATAAAGTGGTTTCCACAGAGGAAAAAAATTAACTTACAAAGTGATAGCTTTAGATTTGTAAAACATACATAATGTACTTCCAATAGGATGGCTGATGTTCTGATACAAGATAACCTCATCATAAATTAACACTGTTCCCGACTCAAACATTTGACGTTCGTCAAAATTAAAAACTAATTTATGTTCAAGTTTTGAGTTGGGCCACCTTTATTATGAACTGGTAATCTCTTCTCGTGTCAGTAACTAACATAAGATTGTTATCACTTTATCAAAGTAATAAACTATTAGATCTAATTAATTATTACTAATAGTTGTATGCTACAAACGTGAACATGAATCTTCATTTTATATGATGTATTTTTTTTGTGTTGTTTGTTTTGTTATGTGATGTGTATTCGAGATCGGTAAAATCTTGTGACTGGAATTGCTGAAATTTAGTTCTAAGACTAATATACAGGGTAATTTTGCAATAACCGGCCAAATTTGAGAAGGTTCAGATAAAGTAATACAGGCAAATGGTGAAGAAAAATTAATTCAAAAAATCTGACTAATTCTGTCCTCTTTATATTTTAAATTCAAATGCGTGGTAATGCATTATTTTAACTGATTTTACTGCGCACCCACACATTGGTAAGGGTCGATCGGTAGGCAAATACGTTATTGTAATTACTTCAATAAAATTAAAAGGCTTACTTACTTGTATTTTCAAAAAGAGAAATGGTATATCATTATTTATATATTTGGACTTAAGTTTAAAATTTGGCTACTCTTTGAAAAATAACCCTGCATAAGACTTTAAGCTGTGTGCCATGTACTTTCTTTACGAGAGCTAGAATTGTATAAATATGATAAACATACTCGTAAATTTTTCTAAAGATTAAAAATATCTTGAATCCTTAAATATAATAAATATATTAAAATACTAAGTATAAGAATAAAATACTAATATTTTATACATTTTAGTTTTTGAAGTCTGTTTACACTTTTTATGTTTATTTTGTAACCTTTTGAAACCAAAAAATATCAGAAGTTCAAGGTAACAACAAGAACGTGGTTCAAATAATTAAAATTATTTTTAATTATACATTACAGTGGTAGAGCCACGCGGCAGCTTTTATTGTCGCACGGATGGGCCGGCTCGAACCGGGGTAGTACCACGACCTCACAGAAAACCAGCGTGAAGTAGAGGTTTACCTCTGCGTTTCGCTTGGTGAGTGCAGGTGGCCGGAGGCCCTTTTTACTGGAAATGAGGCATTCCATCTTAGTCCTCACGGGTGACAACGCATCTACATTTTGATTTGTAACAGAGGATAGATGTAGATGTCTATGGGCCGCAGCAACCACTTACCATCAGGTGGACTGTGTGCTCGTTTGTCACCCATA